TTCTTCACAGCTAGCGCTCCTTAGGTTATGAATATCGGTGCATGTCAAAGCAGAGGCCTCAGAAGTCTAGCTAGCGCCCTGCTTAGTCCCATTCGTCGAGCGTACAACACATGAGTGCTCTCGCACTCCTCCACTGTCGCGAGTGGATGGTTTGCAATTTGTCAGAGGCCCTGACGCCTCTCGCGATGTCAGCGAACCTCTCTTGCAGCAGTTTGAGGAAACTGGAGAGAGGGGTAAGCCTAGAATACGCGATCATGTTATGCTCGCAATCAGCGGCGCGCGCAAGGGACCTGGAGAAGCTGGCTGCTTCGTCTTTCAATGCATGGAAGGCCACAAGGACTTGCTCCCCGGGGGCGATATGATGCAGATATATTGATACTGGCCTCCCAGTTATCAAAGCTATCGTCCTTCTTCCCGCTATAAGCGTCAGGGAATTTGAGCTTTATAGGCTCCTTGCGGGGACGTGACGCGGCTTCTGTCGTGGCCACTACTTCGGCGCTTTCAATGCCGCCTTCGCATAACTTATCTACGCCTTCCTTCAATCTCTTAACCTCGGTCCCGACGTGGGTCACCACGTTGTGCGCAAACTCTCTAAAGCCCAACCGGATGGCATGCAGGGTCACATCTTGACCCTTATTGGCCTGATGCTCCTCAAGCCAGGCCTCACTCAGGACCTCCAGGTACCCTATGGTCTTATCTAACTTTGCAAGGGTTTTTGCCTGTGCCTGCACCTTCTGTCTGCATGCCCAGACTCTTTCCACTTCTCTAGCCACTCAGTTGGCTTCCTACCTCCTTCTCTTCTTCTCCCTCATCATACGCAACTTCCACTCCAACTTCTTTTCATCTTTTGCTGTCTGACGTTCCAGGGGGTCCTCCATCATTTCCAATACCCTGGCGAATGCTTCTCTCTCCTCCTAGGGCACATACAACAGTGCCTCTTCGCCTTCGCCCAACGATAAGTTGGCTACCCACTCGCTAATTTTCTTCTCCATCCATGTGTCCTCCCCCTTCGTGCCACTTGTCTCTCCTCTATCTGCCCCACGCCTCCTTTCAAGGGGTTCTTCTTCTTCTTCTACCTCCTCCTCCTCTGCTGCTGCTGCTTCTTCGGCAGCCTTCCTCTTCTCTTCCTCCTCCTGCTGTAACTTCAACATCTTCTCCTTTTGTAACCTCATCATCTCTTCTTCCAACTTCTTCTTCTTCGCCGCCTGCTCCTCTGCGATTGCTTTCAACTTCGCCTGCTTGAGGAGCTCTTTCTTCTCTTTTCTCTCTCTCAGGAGGGCGGCGATCCGGGCCTGTTCGGCCTCGGACTGTGGGGCAGTGCTCTTTCCTACGCGTGTCCACCATGGGGCTAGGTGCACAACAATATACGGTTCCACTCCTCACCACTTAGACTCTACCCCCTGACCGACAGACCTACTGACTCAATCTAAGGACTTACAGAATCCGGACAGGATCCTGTCAACTAGGGTCTCTAGCCTAGACCTACTCTAAGGCTGTCACTACAAGATCTGTTGCTGATCAGGAGGCATTTAAGGAGATCCCCTGTAACCCCTCAGGAATTATTTAATGTCGCAGACAGGACGACGCGATCAGCAGGTCTTCTCAAGACTTAGACGGCCTGTTGTGCAGCCCACAGCTCGGATTTTGGGCCTACCTAGCCACACCGAGCAGCCCGCCGGTCAGTACCGGTCCTTGGGAGGGTTCGTGTCCTCCGGGACAGTCAAGTCGTCAGACACAGTCTTTAGCCCTACTCAGCCCGTGTGGGTTTGGTCAACATGGCCCTATCCTTCATCCACAGAGTTCCTATCACCTGGACAGAAGAGACTCGATGCAGAAAGAAGAGACAAACAGACTTGACTCAGCAAGTACCACTGGGTGTGTGCACATCCATAGGGCGAGGGGATAGGCTGAAGGCTTGGCGAGATTATATCGGCTCCAGCTTGGTCAAAATCGTGGTCAACTGTCTTGGTCAACGCCTAGGTCAACGCTTGGTCAACGCTGCAGTCAACCCCCGGTCAACTCCGGTCAACGCCCGGTCAACACCCTCGAAAAACCCTTCCGGTCAGCTATGGCTACCGTCCTCTCCTTCCTCGCCACCCTTCTCCTTCCTTCTCTCTACCTCGCCTCTTTCTTCTTCACCCCGTCTATCTTCTCTTTTCCTTTTCTTTTTTTTCTTTTTTTTTGTCTCTCCCTTCACCTCCTCTGCTATGGCTTCCTTCACTCTTCTTGGTCTCCCCCTCTGTCCTCTCTTTCACCCTCTTCGTTACTCTGTGGTCGAGCTCTGCGGCTATGGCCGCCTCTTCACTTCGTGGGACTGCACAACACACTTCACAGGTACGTGACAACCAAACTTGAATCGCTCTCTCTCTCTCTCTCTCTCTCTCTCTCTCTCTCTCTCTCTCTCTCTCTCTCTCTC